TATCATTTGTGTAGATGTGGGGTAATGTAGTATGGAGATGGGATTTAGTTGGTAGTGTATTGGAAAGAATTTTAAGGTGGAAGTTGTAGATTTTGGATTGATATTGGTTTGTTGGTATTGGTATATTTTTGAGAAAAGTTAAAGCATTAGTTAGGAGTGAGAGATCTGGTTTGAATGTTGTTTGAGCACGATGGGAGTAGATTATTTCTGTGAAACGGACAGTTTTGTTTATTTGTTTGATATATTGCCTTGTTGATGGGTTGATCTATTTAATTTTAAGGTTTATTAAATAGGTTAACACTATATAAGAGTTAACAACAATAGTTGACCTACCTACCTTAATCACAAATGCCTATATTCAAAACAACATCAACTTTTCTAAATATATTACTAAACTAATTCAAAGCTATTCCAATTTTATTTCTTCCAATACTGAGTAAGTAAATATAACTGCTCGATACTATCTGACAAAATATATTGTTTTAAAATTTATTTTCAATATTAGTTATTTGATTTCTATAAGTAAACTAGCATTAAACTCATTGTATTTACAAATAAGTGATGTTGTTTCTTTCATGATATATACTTTTAATATACAAATCAAATAAAGAAATAATGTTTACCTATTAAAAAAATATATTATTATTATTATTATTATTTATTTATTTTTAAATAATAAGAAGCTATTTAAAATTTAATAATTATAATATGTTAAAATTTTTTTAATTTGTTTATTAATATATTTAAAAATTTAAAAATTTGATATTGAAAAAATCTTAATATAAATTTATAAATTGTATATTAATATATTAATAATTTAATAAAAAATTAATTTAAAAATTTAAGTTATTAATATATAATAAATAAAAATAAAAATAAAATATTTATTATATTAAAATAAATAATAATTATTATTATTACTGAAACTATTTATTTTTATAGATATTATTATTAAAATCTTATTTATAAGTAAAAACTTTTCTAATAATTTACATTTCAATTTAATAGTCTTAACTCTTTTTCAATAAACTATTAATTTAAAGTGTATTAACTTCTAACAAGATTATAAGGTTGTATAAATACAAAATAATTTTTTTAAAATAATTAATTTAAAATATATATGTTTTTTTATTAATATAAAAGAAAATTTGATTAATAATATTATTTTAAATTAAATTTGATTTTAATTATTTATTATATATTACTTAGCAATTTCAATATAATATAGTTTTTAAAAAATATTTGAATTCAATTTTACTATAGTTATAGTCCAAAGTATTATTATCTTTTCCTATAATTATTATTGACTAAAATTAACTTCTGTAAATATTAATTAAAATTAAATTAAATAAAATATAATTCAATTTGTATATTTAAACACAAGAGAAATCTTAATTAAAAAAATAAGACAAAAATTTTTATTTCTTTTTGTCTAATTATTTTAAAATTATTTTTGATAATTATTATAACATCAATCAAATGATCATTATATTGCAATACTATTTATAGAAATTATAATTTCAATATTCATTAAATCAGCATATAAATTAACTTTTTATAAAAAATAATATTTAATAAATTATAATATTAGATATCTTATTAATTCTATTTAATTATTTTTATCAGAGATTAATTGGTATTTTGTAAAATACCAATTACTAAAGCTTTAAAAAGTATTAAACTAATATTAAAATAGTATTGAAATAATATTAATTTATAGTAAATTTAATATATGAATTATGATCTATTCATATAGATTTATAGTAAATTTAAGTATTAATATAATATCAAAGTGATATTATTAAAAGTCTTATTAATTACTATATTATAGACTTACTTTATTACATATAAATATATATTGTTTTTACTAATATTGTATAAATATAGTTACTTAATTATTATTTAAATGTCTTAATATAATAAAAAATTTAGTATTAAATTAAAATAAACAAAATTTTTATAAAAATAAAAAAAAGTTTATATGTTTAAGAGAATATAATTAAAAATTAATAATATAATAAAAAATTCAAAAATCAGATAATTGTTTTTTTCAAAATCCAAAAAAATTTTTTATTATATTTTATTAAAAAAAATATTTTTGTTTTTTAATTTATAAATAAATTTTTTTGTATTTATTTAGAGAAATACATATAATTTATTTTTAATCTATAAATCTATAATATAAATTTCAAATAACAACAATTAAATTAATATAATATAATATTTGATAATATAATTTATTAAACATTGTTTTTATATGAACTGTTTCATATACTGATTCAATAAACATTAGAATTGTAATATTTAAAAAAATACTACAATATAATAATTATTCAATTGATATCATGATAATTATTATAAAGTTTGAATTCAAACTTAATTCCAATATATACTGTATATATTAATTAATATATTATAATTTAATACAATTTTTTAAATAATTAGAATTATTAGATAAATAAAAAAAAACAAAAATCAAAATTCTTATGTATGTTTAATATAATAAATATTCAATGTATAAGATATGATATACAGCGAATTAAATAATTTTTTGTAAATCAAATTTGTTTATACATTTCAAATTACACTCATTTTTTATAGCCACTTATAAATGTACATGGTTTTAATTGTTGTTAATTTTTATAATTTAATTTTCGTGTTTTTTTTTTTTTTTTTTTTGATCTATTTCAATTACTTGTGTAATTGTTTTTGCTTAATAAATCTTTCATATATGATATAAAATTAATACTGTTTCATCTTTTTATAGTAAATTAATTTTAGTTTCTTAAGAAATTTGATGTTAATAGATTTATTAATAATTGATTTTGATCTCTTTTCTTTTGAAATAACGTATTTGAATTTTTTATTGGCTTGAGGATCATTTCAAATACTACATGACAAAATTTCCCATATCTCTTAATAATTATTATATGCTCAAACCCAATATTCGTAAATGAATATTGAATCCAAGTTCACACTATATGTATGAATTAAAAAAAAATTTTTTTTTACCGATTCATGAGTAACAAAACAAAAATTTTCTTTGATTATACAATGAAACCTTTAATTTTAGATTGTGACGATACACAAGTTTTATCTCAATTAATAGATACCACGGCATATTATTTGTTTATATTGGATTTTTATCGAATTGCATGTGCTGTAATAATTTTGGAATATGATAATCATCGCATCGGGGAAATATCCAATTCGCCAAACAAGTATACAACCTTTATTCGTTGAAAAGTAAAGAGACGAAAATTCAAATTTCCAGAATTTATTATTATTATTATTATTATTATTATACGGGAATTTAAAGAGTCACGATTTCGCAGAATGTATCGAGTATTGTTTTTTAATTGATCAGCAAAAAACATCTCTTTGATTTGAAAAGCTTTTTTTCATTAAATAAAAAAACTTGAATTTTTACAATTGATAATTCTAAAGCGTATTTTTTGGTTGACAGATATTGTGAATCCATTTCGACTATCTTAAACTATGTACGGTACGTTTCCATTGTTTCCATTCTCGTGTAAATATTTGATGAAACAGTAATAAAAACACGAAATTCCTTTTTGCTAAAGTGTTGTTTATTTGCAAATGATGAAATAATGCTGTAAAAGGATAAAAAAAATGTGAAATAAAATGAGCAAGTCAAGATTTACGAATTTTCCAAAAATCTTGATGGGTTATGGATTCTCTATTCTATGATGGTAAAATGTATATTACATTATCTATTTGCACAGTTGTTTGACACCGTCAGGAATAGTGAGTTTCTTGAATTCATCGGGAACCTCTATCAACTGAGCAACCATCCCCATCTCGACGTGCCATTCTATGTGACAATGAATCAGCCAGACGCCTGGATTGTCGGCGTAAAACCTTATGGCCGTCATACTGCCAAGATTCAAAGGGAATAAATTTTAGTAAATTTTCATGAGTCAGCGTTTGACGTGTGGGGTAGAACAAACGAGACTTACCTCAACGCGTCGATGGTTAAAGTATCACGGAAAGGTGGATTGTCGAAGTTGTACTTCAAGGAGCTGATGGATTGATTGAAGCTGCCTACACCACCTTGGGCCACAACCCAAAATGAGTGTCCATGCTATTTCGAGGAATACGTAAACAAGTAAATATCAATCATACTAAATTACGAGAGGGATATATGGCATGGTTGGACACTTACCAAGTGGAAGGGATGAGTTCGACGTTCTGTGTTAACCAAGACAATCTCTACGGGAGCATTTGACTTATTGATAGTGTAGGCATTGTCCGAAGTAACAAATGGAGTTCCGTCCTGAACCCTTTCATTGGATGGATGGTTGAAGTCTACTTCAAACGACGAATTATTAATTGTTGCTTGCAACCTGGGTCTTACGTTAATGCCAATTGTAAGCGTGACACGTTGAACATTTTTATCAGTCGGCACTTGTTTGTCCAATTTTAATGGTTTCAAGTTAGCCGAACTAATGTCCAAGCAGTCGGGTGGCCCACTGAGAGTGAATGGCTTCGTGGTGGGGACGGATCCTGATGCACCCTCATATCGAAGGATGCCAGTAATTCCCAAGTTGTCATAAATAGGGCTATCACCGTTAATTGTTCCAGGTCCGCCACCCAAACTGCAGTCGGAAATGATGGCACGAATAAAGTAATTTCCGACAGGCTGATTCGCATTAACGATTACCGAGTATCGTTGGGCGATGTTGACCGGTATATAGTTGGTCGTGTATGGTTTGATGGCAGTCCCTTCAACTTCAATAACCTGAAGCGGGTGGTTGTCGATCATAACTATGAAATGAAGCATCGCGCTAGTGTTAATTATACGGAATCTGTATCGTTTACCCTTCGTGACTTTATAGGTCGCAAATTTCTTGGGTGTACAATCTGGGATCGTGCAGTTATATTGACCGACACCACTGATTTCCCCAGAGTCAGGGACAGGATCACCTCCCGTATAGCCATCTACAAATTCAAACAAGTTTATCAGAAGCGTATTCTACGAAGTCAAAATAATATGATTCAGGTGTTGTAGACGTTTTCACAATACCACTCATGAACAATTGCACCATTCCCGGATCCGTGGTTGGTGTGCGATACCAGTCCGAAATCTCCATCACGTATTCAAGATCGTAAAGACCTTTGTTTGGGTCGTTAGGATCGTGAATAACAATAGGACCCTTCAAAAGCAAATGAGGTTATCGATACATACTATCATGTAATTTCTGAACATCCCGATATCAATTAATGTACACTACCTTTAAGCCGTCGACATATTGGGCGAGATAGTGAGAATGGTACCAGAATGTTCCCGATTGTGTAAGCTTAAATGAGTAGGTAAGATTCTTCCCGTCTTTTATGGGACATTGGGTAATTCCAGATGCTCCATCATACCAATTAGTGCCCCTTTGTTCGAGTCCATGCCAGTGAACTTAAGTTTGTGATTAAAGAAGCATAAGTTGAATCAGCAGTCGATCGATTTATAGACATCACGCCTATTGTATCAAGACATACCTCCGGAAAAATCTCCGAGGTGGTTAATTACATTAATTTCAAATGTATCACCAATATTTGCACGGATAATAGGGCCAGGATACCTTTAGGATAAAAAAAAATGAAGATTTTAACTTGAGAAAAAAAAGGTTGTCCCCTCGGAAGAATCAATAATACTTACTGTCCGTTCACCGACCACACCGTACGAGTGAAGCCATCTATGTCCAAATTAACCTTTTTTAATTCGAAGGTGCAACGACGAGTTACACCCGATGGAGAGGCGGGCAATGCCACAAAAGACTCAAAAATATTAGTATTTGGTGGCATATCGGTTTGGAGCGCTGTTGATGTACCCGTTGACGTTCCCGTCGACGTTCCTGTCGACGTTCCTGTCGATGTTCCTGTCGATGTTCCTGTTTTATATGTTCCCGTTGACGTTCCTGTCGACGTCCCTGTTTTATATGTTCCCGTTGACGTTCCTGTTTTATATGTTCCTGTTTTATATGATGATCCTGTTTCTGATTTTCCTGGTGTTTCGGTGGTATATACTTTTCCTGTTTTAGAAGGTGAAGGTGAAGGTGAAGGTGTAGTTGGTTTTGGTAAAGGTGGAAGTGGCGAATTCGGTTTATGAGGTTTGTGTGGGTGATATTTTTTATGTCCATGTTTTACATGGTGACGGTGGTAATGGTAGTGGTAGTAATAGTCGCGTGCGGAAGCGAGGAGGATGTAGTAGGTAAGGAAAAGAAAGGTGACGATTAATAATGATTTCATTTTTTTTTTCCTTTGAAAAAAAAAGAATGAAAATCAAAGGAATATTTTTCCGCGATGAAAGGGTGGCCAAGAGAAACGATGATAACGCTGAATTCGCGACTATTTATAATCTACTTCAAATGCGAATCAATGTCACTGGGTACACTTACCTTATTCCCTTTATAAACTTTCCATTTTTCTTCACAAATTGCTGCAAACAAAATAAATTGCATTTACTGCTTTAGTTTTACAGCATAAATGCATAATTTAAATGCGCCAATAAAATCAATTTTTCAGAGTAACTCAAACATACATCCCTAATGTGGTTATAAATAGAATTATTTCGAACATGATGAGGTGACTTTCTAATGACAAACAATGCCATCAGGATAAAAATCCAACAAACTTTTAATTTAGAATGAAATCTCGCCGCCATACTATTGAACTCGAATCGTCTCTTTGTCATCTCGGTTCATCGAAATTGATCAGTGTTTAAACGTACGATTTTTGTTATAGAAAATGTTAGAGGAAGTACGAGTGTGTGTATCATTATATGGCCGCTTTTAGATACCAAATCGTCAATCATTTTCCTTTAGGAAATTTCTTGAAAAAGTATTTTCCTCTAATGACCTGACTCTAAAAACGGACACTCGCAATGTCTCACAAACCCTAGGACCGCAAACAAAAGTTTTCTGGAATATGTACTGTCGCACACATGTTAGTATGCGCTTAATTGATCTATCTTCATCTCAATCCTTGGATACGATCCGATTTCTGCATATATTAATTATAAAGACGTACATTCTGCTTTGTACTCAACTAGGAATTACTACAATTGGTAAGGAACTTGTAGAAAAAACTCCTTGTACGTATGAGAAGAACTGCACTAATGAATTTCTTAATACAAAAATAAAGCATCATTAACAACCAACGTGTAGTATATCACGCCACGTTAACTATTCATTAAACGTAACAATTATAAAATCTGTATTGTTTTTTTTTTTTAAAAATTATTTGATGCGCCATGACCGTTTCATGTTATCATTGTCTGTTACATCCAGTCCATGGTTATTTTTAGTTCAGTTCATTCTTCCTGGGCACAAGTCCTTATTCAAAATAGCTGCCAGAATCCCCGAAGCGGTGTCAAGGTTTCAAAGAAAACAAAGGGTTTGACATCATGCGATGAAACCGTCCAGGTCAGGTCGACAGACGCAGAAATGTAAAAATTGTAATTTTAACTTTGCAATCATTCGATGTATATGCATATAGGCACGCTGTATATTCGTCTTTACTCTGAAATTTGTTGAAGCGTCGACTTATCTTACGGCCCAAAACGGGGCGGTATCACAAAAAAGAAAGTTAATCCGTTTATTCGATAAATATATTATATGTAGCGTATAATAAGTTTAAACCCCCGTTTCTAGAAAAAACAATCGAATTTCATTCAATGAATCATCAATGAATCTTGTGTATGTTCATTGCATTTTTTTTTTCATCTTAAAAATTTTATCATCTGTTTTTATATTATACAGTATGTATGTATATTCGTTTATATCCACAAATGATTGACCATAAAATTTAAACCACATATGTTCATCAAAATCCCAAAGAATTTGTTAAAATAAAATAACGCGAGAATTTCACGTATACGATATATATATACGATATATAATTTATTTATACAATTTCAATATTTTAAATAAGACGATGTGATTGTTGAATTTAAGTTCAAATTTATATCTTAAAATTCATTAATTTTACAATAAATATAAAATACCATTATCATTTATCATAATATTATTATTATTTTAAATTATTAAACCTATTTCAATATGTAGATTTATTAAACCAAAATCTATACACTGTAATAAATTATGTTCAATATCATTTGAATAAAAAAATTTTTTGGTGATTAAAAATAATGACAATAAATTGTTACTGTATAATGAAATTAATGTTTTTAATATTTCTGTTTGAATTTGATCATTTAAAAATTTAAAATTTCAATATAATATAATACACAATATAATATAATTTGTTAAACTTGTTATTTTTTTTTTAATAAAAAAAATTATTCTTTATAATAATACAAACTTTATACATATATTTTTTTAAAATAAAAAAAATATTAAGTTTAATTCAACCAAATTAAAAATGTGCTTTTATATTTATTATCAATATACTTTTAAATCTGTCAAATTTAAATTTCTGAAATTGAATTTTTTATATAAAAGAATATTGTTGTAATTTTTAAATTTAATCTTAAACTTAATTGTTAATTTTATATACTATAATAGTTTTTTTAGATATTAAATAAATCATTTAATTGGTTATAAATAACAATAATAAAATAAAAATTATTAAACTAATTGAATTTTATAAAAGTTATATAAGTTTATTTAATTATAAAAAACTATTACAAGCATAAGAATATATATAAAGTATAAATTTTCTTAATTCAATTCACTTGTTAACAACCAAAGCCTTATATATAATTTATAAAAATAATATATTGCTCTTTCAACAAATAAAATTAAAATTCAGATTTATTATTAAAATCAAAATTTGTAAATTATCTTTACAGTTATAATTAGAAATTCAACTTATATTACTTTTTTTTTGTAAAAACTGTAAAAGAAAAATAAATAAATAAAATAAATAAGAAAAATAATATATAGCATAAACAAAAAACTAATTAAAAAAATTATTATTTATTTTAATAAACAAATTTTAAACTTTTTTATTTATAGAATAATTGAAAATAACAATAAAATTAAAATTAATATAAATTAATTAATATATATTATAATAAGTTGTATTAACTTTAATTATATTAGTATTTTATAAATTAAATTATAATTTAATTATAATTATTTATTATTCTTTAGAATTTAACTTTGAAAAGTTTATATTTGAATTAGATTTGAAATTTGAAATTTTATATATCAAATATATAAAAAAACTTATATATCTTGTATATAATTGATTAATTAAGTTAATTTTGTAAAAAAAATAAAAAATAATTCAAAATTTTTGTTTTTTAATATATAAATTTTAAACAAAAAAAAATTGACAAGAATGCTTGAGTATAATATATTTATGTATGGATTATAAATTTTAATTTTATAAAATTGTATTTGTTATTTTTATAGTTGAAAATATTAGCAATAATATTTTTTATAATTAAATAAATAAAAAATAAACAATGAAGTTTTTATAATAGCTATAAATAATAACAAAAAATATATAAAAAACTATTAAAGATTTAAAACAGTTTATAGAAATATAATTTGACAACCATATATAGCATATACTCTTAAATTAATAATTAATAAAAAATTAGAACTACTTAAAATTTTACAGTAATTGGATATATCAAATTTTTAATAGATTTTTTTTTTAGATTAAAATTATTTAAATATTTAATTAAAAGAATAAATGAGAATTATAAATTTGATAATATTTTTTTTAATCAATTATTTATATTTTTATTATTAATTTTTTAATATATTTTATGAATTTTTATTATATATTTATTTAAATTTTATAAATTCAATATATTATTATTATTATTTTAAATATGTGATTGCAAATATAATAATTTATTAAAATTTTAATTATTTAATATAATATTATTTTTTGGAGTTAAAAAATATATTCATATATTAAAATTAAAATTAGTTGAAAATATAGATATAAATTTCAAAAAAAATTATTGGTAATTAACTAGAATAATATCAATAAATAATAAATAAATATTATTTTGTTAATTAATTCCAATATAGATTTTTTGAATAATAGTAATTATATTATATATAGTATGATGAATTTTATAATAATATATATTATTGACAAATTTAAATTTATATTAATATTAAAAGAAAAAAATATTGAAAGTATAAAATAAATTTTTTTGAATTTGAAATTAACAATAATAAAAATAATTTATAAAATTTTAATAAATTTATACAAATACTTATAAGAAAACTTTGTATTATACAATACATTTTTATTGGAAAAAAAAATAATGAATTATATTTCCCTTTTATTTTTAATACTTGAATTAAAAAATTGGATTTTCATTTGATAAAAAAAAACAAATTTAAAATTTGTTAAAAAAGTAAATATTATAATATAAAAAAAAAATTATCAATAACTTCAATATTTATTATTCTTTTAATTTTTCTTTATATTTATAACATTTAATTTATTTTTTCTTTTTATAAACTAACATTATTTAATATTTTTAATAATTTATTATTTTTTAATATCCATTTATATGATGAAAAATTAATAAAGAAATATTTTCTGTATTAATTTGATTAATACATACTTGTTTTTTTATTTGAGCTACTTTAACTTCTTTTGAAAAACTATTTTCTGATTGTGAAAATATTATGAATTCTAAAAGAACAAGTATAAATCTAGAATTTTTTAAGAGATTAGTTTTTTAAAAATGAAATTATTATGTTTTAAATGATATACATCCAGTATTGTATTCTTAATAGAATACATAATATTCAAATACTATTAAAAATAAATCAAAATATAAAATGTAAGTAAAATATGTGATATTAATAAATAATAAAAAAAATTTTTTTGTAATATTCTTTGTTAAATAACTATAATAAATATAATAACTACTGATACAAATAAGGCCAAATATTTCTAATCCACCAAAGTATTTCAGTTTTATTAACCCAGCCTTTTTCATTTGCATGAATAAATATACCATTTGGAAAATTTTCTTTAGGTATATTTTTTAATTTAAAGATATAAACAGGCGGTAATTTGATTCCATTTGCCATGCATCCAAGAATAACAGTAAAATTCTTTTTTTCATTCCCCGTAATACAAATTCCAACTGTATGTGATTCATATTTTTCAATTGTTGTTGGATTTGATAAATCGAAAGTAAGAGGAACTTCATTCAGATTACCAATTAAATAAAATGAATAATTATATTGAATGCGTTGATTCAAAATATAATTAAGAAATTCTTGTTTTTTTTTTATTAAGTCTTCAGGTAAATGTTGCGCAATAGTTGTATGGCAACGAATTGATAAATTGTAACAGTTCAAAAAGCCATAAAACCAATTGTTTGAAAATCTAAATGTTTGAATATTTAAAAATTCTTGAGAATTAGTATTTTGAATAAAAAAATATGCTTTGGTAATAACTAATGTT